CCAGTGGGTGCAGGAGCAACACTAACAGTGTCATGGATACACAGTTTGTGGTAGTCCCTGAGGCCTGTGCAGAAATCTTTGCTAGCTTTACTGTATCATAGTGCACAAGTATCACGGAGAATGAAGTGAAGGTGGAAGAGTCGAGCAAGGGTAGTACTTCAGCTTCATTAGTAGATAAGACTTCTGTTTTCTGCCCCCTTGTGTTTAACTGAGCCTTTCTAGTATCTGTCAGTTTGTGATGTTCCGGGTGGATATTGATACCTCTGCTGACAGCTTCCAATTCTGCAGCATTGTTAGAAGAGTTCTCTTCAAAATCACAGGTGAATTGTCAGGTCTGAAGGGTTGACATCTTGTCAAAATATAGCTGCTAGGTGCAGTAATCTAAGTTCTCATTCTTTCAGTACTAGTATGGAACATGTGATTGACAGCTCAGAGAATGAACCTGTTTTTTTCATAGATCAGATAAAGCACACTGTGACAGGGCATACTCCTCCAATGTGCAGAAGTGTCTCCTGTCTACTGTGGAGAGAGAGGAGTGGGGACTTGTGGGTTTATCCCTTCTGAGTGAAAAAGTTATGTGACTGGGCATTGATATGTTGAAATATCAGCAACTGTCTGCCTTCTCCTACTTCAGGAGACTGAATAACTGTTCCCCTGTGATCTGGGACCTACAGCAGGCAGCTTTTGCTTTCTTCCTGTTCCAATGGCTCTTAAAAAGGCTGCAAGTGATGAGGTTCAACTTCAGCCTMTTCTTCCCGTTCAGAAAATGCTACTTACATGACAGCATGAGAGAATGCTTCATCCTTGCCCTGAGTTACCAGAAAGGCAGCTGAGTTGCCATCTCTGATGATTGCCCTTTCCTATAGTATTGATAAAAAWTATGAGTCAGTGCTGGGTGCAGTGGCAGTTTTGGTGGTACTGTTTTGCTGAATTTCAAGCTGATGGTATTGGCTTGTGTGTGTCTCCTACTTCCTCTGTGCAGAAGTCTAATTGGTCAGAAACTGAATAGCTTAAAAATTCCATCTTCCGTCATTCTTCCCTCCCAGACAAACCCATTTCTGTAAACAACAAGAAAATGATGGAAAGAAGTTCTAGTAGCTATGGAAAACATTTTTCTTTTCCCTGTTCTAAAACCCACTGCTTTGCAGCAAGAGTTAGTTATTGCCAAGAGMAAAGTTTATTGACACCAACTGCGTGCTGAGTGCCTGTTCTTTTAATGCTGCCTCTGGACAGTCCGCTTAAGAGTAATTAATGAAGGGCAGTGTTACGCACCTTACTTTAGTTACCTTCCCTGTAGCAGCCACACAGATGGATCACAGACCAGCAGCAGAACTGTTGTCCCACTCCAGTGGTGGCTCCTTCCTTAAAACAGGAAATAATTTTAAGCATATGACTGTCTTTGAAAGTATGCAGTTTTGTCTTCCATTGCATAAAAGTATTAAGGTCTCCCTTACTTGCCCCCTTCTTTCTGCCAGGGAGGACAACTTTTCCCTTCTTTCTCTCCCTGTAATGCACACTTTAAAGCCAGGAAGCAGAAGGTTTGTACTATTCTGTCTTAAAGTGGAGTGGTAAGGAAGCCTGATCCTGAAAGAAATGCAAGAAAGAGTTACTGAGTAAGAAACAGGAGAAGAGGGTCCCCACAAGAGGGGCTCAGATACTTTTAATAAACTTGGTAGTGCTTTCCCTCTCAAATGTGAACACCTTTACAAAATAATAGGAAGAAGAAAATCAGTGGCCAGAAAGCAGCATAGTTTTCAAGAAATAAAACACTTTTGTGTTGTGTTTTTTCTGAGTTTGGCAGCTTTAAAATATCGTGAGGTTTAGTCTGTTCAGTGGTGAGTTTTCTAACTGGGCAAGAAGCAGAAATGAAGTCTGGGGCTCTTTGAGTTAACCCAGCTTGTATTCAGAGAAACACTTAAAATAAGTGGAACAGAGCCAGCATTTCTATCAAAGCAAGGTATTCCCAACTTGGGTTTTCTTTTGGAAACTAAAGCTATGCAGAGCTCAGGAGCAACCCACACACTGGAGCATTTTCCTGTGTTGTTTAAAAACCAGATGACTTTTTCTGCGTGCTGGAGAAAAGGAAGGTGAACAAACGTGTGAGTAGCAGGTGTGGCTGCGGAGTGGTTGCCAATGACGCTTTTGGTGCTGCAAGGAGGGAGGGCCAGTCTCAGGAGGGCTGGGCTTGCACCCAATATGCCTCTGCTGTTGCAGCCCCTGAAACTGAAAGGGATTGCTTTCTTCCGGGAGAAAAGCAATTCCTTGGTAACTACTACTGCAGTTTTATCAGGGGTAACCAGATGCTTTCTGGGCTTTGAAACGGCCACTTTGTATCTCCTTTATATCCTCTAGCTCCTCACTGCTCTGGTGTTCTTAGAGACCTTATCTTRCCACAAAACTGTTTGGATCAAGTATAGTGGATTGTTTAAAGGTTAGTGAAAAGATTATGCTGCCAAGAACGACTGCTCCTGGTTTTAAGTTTAGCAGCAGCGCAGTGTTAGCACAGCTGGAAACAAAATTGCTGTGGCTGCTGGTGGCTGAAGTTGGGTCTCTCCCCAGATAACCTTTGCTGGCTGGCTGATTTGATCACTTAGGGTCCTCTATGGCTTCCATTCACCCAAAAATCTTTCTTACAAATGCTTTCAGAATAAAATGTTTTGAAGAAGCATACATGGGTGGTTCAACATTTTAACTGAGCATTTCTAAATTCCTTGCAAGGGGTGTGTGGAAATCCAGTGCAGGATTAACTCTGTGGTTACTAGCGATGACCAGAGACAGGAAGCTTATGGCTGTGGCTATGTTTGTTCCTGCCCAGTCCCTTGGCATTGTCCCATACATGCTGGTTTTAGTATGTCTGGAGATTCCATGGGTCTGTTTTTCACTAGATGTGAGGCATGACTTTTGCTTAGGTGAGCAGTTTTAAATACCCACTAATGTGTCATTTTGTCTGGTTCCTCATTCTAGATCTTGAATTTATGTCAAAACTATTTAATCCTTTGCCTGCTGCAGCCTATCAAGACTAGTCAGCACAATTTCAACTTGAGACACAATTCTGCAGCTGATTTCTCTCCCCACACACATTGTGAACAGTATGCATACAGAAGTGGTTTTATACATGCCTTTTCACTAGAAATTAAATTCACTGTATATCCTGGAATCCTTTAGCTTTCTTCTAGTTTCCATGTCTGACTGTTAAATGTCTATGTGGGGTTAACTAACAAGGACCCAGTGAAGGAGGTTCTCTTAATTATTCTGTTTTCTCTAGTTTATTTTGTTATGCTACACAGCTGGCCTCATTCATGAGTTATCAGACTGACCTCCTATAAAACGTTAATTTAACTCTGATTCAGTAGATGAAAATGCTYAGCAGAATTTGAATTATGATGTTTGTGAACATTTGTGCGTAGTGCCTGAACCAAGTATCTGCCAGCTGATAAAAGCATCTTGGTAAACTCACTTTTCTGCAGTACTGTGATAAGAGTTGATTAATTTACTATAAGTTTCACTTGAGGTATCAAAATATTTTCCAAAACTAGCAGAGTGGTTTCAGCTGTGCTTTACAGATGTAGAAAAATAGAGGTATAACATTTGATTTGAAAGTGACAGTCTAAAGGCAGTGGGACTTCCTGCATTTAGACCTTGCTATAATCAACAGTTCTGGCATTGATGGTGCCAATACTTTTAAGTTACTTGGTGTAGACTTGTATTGTAGTTGTTTGCAGCCACTATTTGGGAWTTTTTTTGTACCTAACGTGATCATAGAAGCATAGAATGGTTTGAATTGGAAGGGACTGTAAAGATAATCTACTTCCAACCCTCTGCCATGGGCAGGGACACCTTCCATTAGACCAGCTTGCTCAAAGCTCATCCAGCACTTCCAGGGATGGAGCATCCACAACTTTTCTGGGAAACCTGTTTCAGTGTCTCACCATCCTCACAGTAAAGAATTTCTTCCTAATAACTAAACCTACTCTTTTCCTGTTCAAAACCATTTCCCTTTGTCCCATMAGCACAAGCCCTTGTAAGAAGTCCCTCTCCAGCTCTCCTGTAGTCAGTAACTTTTAGGTACTGAAGGTGCTATAATGGCTCCCCAAAGCCTTCTCCCCAGGCTGAACAAACCCAGCTCTCTCAGCTTGTTTCCTTAGGAGAGGTACTCCAGCCATCTGAGCATCTTTGTGGCCTCATGTGGACTTGCTCCAGCAGGTCCATATCCTTGTGCCTGCATTCTAGAGGGCAAATAGTCATACTTCCTAAAAATCGTGTTGCTCTAGAATATATTACGTTGTGCTTTTGAAAAAACCCAAAATCACTTCATGAYAGTTGATAAAGACATTTTAAAAATTAATATTGTTTTTATGTATTTTGGACAGGTGTTCAGAATCACATTTCTCTTCCACAATGCCCTGCATTATTTGTCATCTTTAACTGAGACAAGCCTTTTGAAAGTATTCTGTTATATGGATTTAGGCAGGAAGACCTTACTGGAAATCGTTTTGAAACAGATATCATGAAACATAATTGTATGTAGSACTAATTCAGTTTTGCTATTAACAAGATGTTATGTCTTGCCCATGAAATACGGTAGGAACACCAGCAGAGATGCAATGTTTCATCAGCTTCTGGTTCTCCTGTGCTGAAGGGCAGGGCCCTTCTCTATGATTTCATTTACTCTGTAAATGGACTGTAGTGAGATTAGGTGATTCTGGATCATTGATTCTAGGAAGTGAAGAGACAGGCAGTTAAGCAAAAAAACCTTGTATTCTGCACAAAATACCTGAAGCACCTGTGGCAAAGACAGGTATCTTAGAGGCACAGGGAAAATTGTAGAAATGGAATTAAGTAGGGTGTGAAACTTGATCAATAAATGGCCAGTTTTGACAGTGTTTTTTGGACAGCTGTCTATGTGAGGAAGAATGGAATAATAATCATCAGTTGAGTTCAAAGTAGATATTTGCACAGCAAGTTGACAGGGTGACTATTCAAATATTTAACACTTGCCTGTTTTTGTTACAGGAATTGCAGAGCTCAGGAAGAGGACGCTTTGTACTGGAACATGCTGCTCCCTTCTCTGCGTTTTTGACAGACAGCTTTGGGCGGCAGCACAATTACTTGCGGATTTCTTTGACTGAGAAGTGCAACCTCAGGTGTAAGTGTCTGCTGGTTCCTTGCACAAAGCTTTTCTGCACATATTGTGCAAAGGCTAAGGTTTGGGTTAGGGTGCTATTGCTGTGTTTGCCCTGTGCTGTTTCTTGTCTTCACAAAGTAATGGTAAAGGACAGATAGAGACTAATTGGGGCTGAGCTGTTGATGGGATGGGGAATCAGGAGCAAACCTAGGGATCTGCCAGAGACAGGTGGAAGTGACAGGTCTTTTATCAGACTTGGTGTGGTTTGGATAATGATGCTTCTGTGCCCAAAGTCTCTGTAAGCAGAAGAGCTTATACCTAGGCATTCCCACAGCTACATCTGCAAAGTCTGTGGTGATGGCCCAGTACTTGCTGGTTTAACTTGGTACCTCTGTTTGAATGCACGTTAAATAGAAATTAATCATCTTTTCCTTCAAAGTGGATCTGTTGTAATTTTGAGGCACATCAAATTAGTCTTGCGTTTTCCTCTGAAGGAAATCAGGATATTGTTAGGAGATTTTAAAATTTTTGCACAATTGGTTTCATTTGACATCTATTAAAGACAGTTGCCCATGATGCCTTTTTTTATCAATATTAGATTAATTGTTGCTGGGGTTTTTTTTGCCTCATGTATTTCTGCAATCTTTGTTTCAGGTCAGTACTGTATGCCTGAGGAAGGTGTTCAGTTGACTCCAAAATCAGAGCTACTAACTACCCAGGAGATAATCACCCTAGCCAGACTGTTTGTGAAAGAAGGTGTGGAGAAGATCCGACTGACAGGTGGAGAGCCACTTATCCGTCCTGATGTGGTGGATATTGTGGGTGAGTTCCAAATCAGTACAGTGTTTCAGACTGACTTGCTGCATGTCAATCCAAGAATTGCACTTACAACTGTCTATTAACACAGTCTGGCAAGCTGAAGAATGATTACACATTTAGCCATGGTGCTTTTTCCCAACTCTGTGAAATGCAAGATACCTTTCAAAAAACTTCCAATTCTCTTTTCCTGCTTGGATGGGATTTATGTCTTTTTGTATTATACTAGCTAAACTTAGCACTGTTTTCATATTCAACATCTACTAGAGTAGCTTGCAATAATGCAGCCTGAGGGTGAAAAACCAAGAATTCATATGACCAGGTCCTCACTGGGGAGGAACAATTGGTATGTGCTTATAAACAAAACAAACTTTCCCTTTGATTTTTTAGGAGCAGGTTTTTTTGTGGTTTTGTTTTTTTACTGTGATAACAAATGTCAGTTGCTTATGTTTATTAAGGAATGGTGGGAATACCTCTGTTTTTACATTTATTGATGAAGACTATTACTTCAGTGGAAGGTAAATTACTCAGTAAATTATAAAAGTCTGTCTGCTTTGATTTGTATTGTGTTAAATGGCCTGGATCTTTTYCCTTGAGTCAGGTGTTCTTTTTCTTTGTCCAAAGTCTCATATGTTAAGAAAATTTCAGTAGATTTGTGTAGTGGCAATGTATTGGATCAAGGTTTGTGTAGGCAGGTGCATTTTGGTGTATTGTAGACAACTGAACTTGTCTGTTTCTGGACATATGGCCTTCTAAGTATGGAGATAAGAAAGTATTTATGTGGAAGGTGAAGGTCTTGAAAGAAGAGAAATTGCCTATCAATACAATGAGTTTTTGTGCAGAAAACAGYTGGTTTCTGCCTCTGATCTGTTATGTTCAGGGTTTGGAAGACCTTTTCCAAAAAAGATTACTTCCAAAGGAAGCAGCAGAGCAATGTTGTTTGTAAAACTGTTTTAGCTAGAAAGGGTGTGACTGGAGTGAGCTGGCTTGTGAGGAGTTCTGAAATTGCACTAACATTTTGGAACTCTGAAATATCATTGTTTGGGTTATTTGGCCATATGTGATGGATTTGAGGTATTTTTAGAATTGAGAGAGCTATATACCTTTCGAGAGACATGTTTCTTTCAAGATAATGGATTCTTTCCAAGGATAATAGATATAATTATTGGCTTCTATAATAGGGAACCAGATTTATAAAATGGGTTGCAGCTTAAAATACAATAACACTTTGCTGTTCAGCATATAGTGTTGGCATGAAAACAAATTGAAATCAACAGTGTCATCAGTTCAGCACAGAACTTTCTTTCCTAGTGTGTTATAGGCACATTCTTTATTTATCAGTGGTAGCCAATGACTTACGCTTAACACAGCTGTTCTGATGTTGACAGTCTAAGTGGAGTAGTCAGGCCACTGCAACATAATTGTTGTATTGCTGCAATCCAGAAGTAYTGGTACTGGAAAGATAAACATCTTTTTGTTTTGCTTTACTCCAATGGTAGAATTCTCAGAGGTTTATTTTTGTGCTAGAAAGAGAGAAGTGGATCTTTTTGAGCTACTGGATTTTCATTATTCTGCCCATGTTCATGTTCACAGCTGAACTTTGACAAATTCATAGTGGTCATTTTAATGGATGACAACAGTCATCTTGGGGTAAAGGTAAGGGATGCTACGATGTTTCTGCTGTTGCATTAGTTCATTCTGTCTTGGATTTGTATTAATATGCCTGGGTTTTTTTAAGGCCTATTGAATTAGGTCTACAAGCACTTCCGGTCTTCTCAGATTTTGGTGTTACTCTATAGTGCCCCAGTCTGGATTCAAGATAAGAGTCTCAAAACTGAATAGATCCATGTAATAACTATGGGAAAACTCATTGAAGGGAAATCAAGCCAAAAATGTCTTCTGCAGAATTTTAATAAAGCATCTTTATTGAAGCCATCTTAGCAYAATGTACTGGTTTGGTCTGGGATAAAGTCTGGTTTTCCAGCTGATTTAAGAGAAGCTGGCTACAGTATCTCAGGTGCTGAATGGAGTTGAGGTTTAAGGTAGGTTTATTTTCAGCAAGCCTTTTTCCACTCTATAAATGATCTGTGAAATACCAGTAAAGCTCAAAAATGTTAATGCTGGATTTCTATTACCATTTTTTAATACTCAAGTTCAAGTTTTTTAGTTGCTTCAATGAAGAAATGTAATTTGAAGCTATTGTAGGAGACCATGCTATTGAGAGACCTTCTACAGTTCCTTAGATTATTTCAAATCCACATTAAAGGATGCACATACATAAACTATGAGTCAGCATCTAACAGTTGCTGAAAGCTAAATTATGTCCTGGGGACTGCTGAAGACGTATGTTTGAGAGTTTTCTGAAGCAGCTGATAGTGGAATGTAGAATCCATCTCCTTTGAGATACTTAGAGTTTAAATAAGCACCAGATATGAACTCTGTGATAGCTGTTYGTTATTAATAGTCTGAGGAGTACACATCTGCACTGACAAAATAATTTTCCATGGGRTGGAGGATGGACTATTGGATGACTTTTTATAGCAACATACCCATTTCAAGAGTGAAGTGATGTAGGGTAGRCTTGGTAGTTCATGTGTTAGGAGATACACACACCTTTTCTGGACTCAATCAGAAGTGCAGTTAAGGAAATGATTGGAGGAGAATATGTAAGAAACTTATCTATTTAAGAAGATGCTCCTGATCCTAAAGGAAAAAGGAAGTGTAAAATGGTTTRCATGATGGCTTGAATTTGACTTACAAGTTTTAGCTTTATGCTATGGACTTTTCTACTTAGTAGATTTTGTCAGTTGCCTTTGTGGTGATTGGTGCTAAAGCAGTGACCAAAGGTCAGCAAAAGGATTTAATACATGTACAAAGAGAGTTACACAGTTATGAAGTCTCTTTAATACCTTTTGAATTTAGAGGTCAACACACCAAAAAACCCAAGACAATGGGAAGGTTACACTTAGTAGAGTGTTCTGACTGGTTCTTTTTAACTAGTTGGTGTTAATGTTGAGCCTCCATCTCTAATTTGTCACAGTTGTCTACTGTCCAGTTTGTTACTACAGGTGATCCTATGTATTAATGTATTTTCAGTGCCTCATCCTGTATCTTGCCCTGTCTGATAAGGAAGAAGGTACATGGACATCAGCTGCTGCCTGTGCTCACCTAATCAGCTAAAGCTGCTTTTTAAAAAATTTTCTATTTTAGGCTGCAGAATGACATTAGTTTTATTCAAGACCTTTATGCATTTTACATTTCTAGCAATGAAGTGTGTATGGCACCTAGACTTTTTTTCTCAGTTGTTCTGAGGCTGAGCATCTTGTGCATTCTGAGGCTATAAATAAAAGCAGTGATGTTCCTAAACTATCCTCTGGCTGCAGTGTGTATCCTTTTACTCTCACGAAGATTAGGATGCTAGTGATAGCTAGTATTAAATAATCTTTGCCAAAATTGAGCCAGTAGCACTTGTCCTCTAGGAGGAGGTTATTCTTGGTCATTTGGGAGGATTTTAAGAGGTGAAGGCCAGGAAGAAAATCTCTCTTAGTAAAGATTGCTCTTTCCCTACAACCTCATGTCTTTATGGAGCTCTCAATTATGTTCCAAAATGCTGCTGCTGTAAACTTCAGCATCTTTGCTSTGACCTAGCTTGACCCGTTCCAAAGTCCTGAACTCAGCTTAGGGTGAATATTTTGAAAAGRGCTGGGAAATGAGATAAAGCAGAAATAAAGCCCTTATCAACATGAACAAATAGAGGTAAAATAATGAGGTAAAAAGGGACTATGAAATATTTGTGCTCTAACTACAGCTGCCTCAAGAGTAAGGGTTCTTCAAATATTTCTTGAATAATTAGGGTGGAGGTAGGGTGGAGGTTATGAGGGAGGGAGGAAAAAACAAAGTAAATTACTTYGCTGTGGCTTCTGCAAGTTGTTTATCAGGTATTCTGATAACTGGAGGTTTGAAAGCCTGTTCTTTGGAGATGTGGTATGCTGAGGATTTCTGCATTTGACTTCTGAGGGGGCAGCTCTTTTCTAAAATCTTAATTTCATTACATTAACTGTTTCTTACACTGTTTTCTTTTGTTAGCCAGCTTTTAGCGTCTTGCGTAAGTGCTCTCCAGTTGGCCAAGCTACCACTGGTAATGGAAATATTTCAGTTGTCAAGTGCAAGTGTTTTGTTCCTTTGGATTCTCTGTAATAGTCTAATATGTTGACCTTTTTCTGTTTAGTTAGGACTGCATGTGGTATTTCTTTCAGTAGTTTAAAGTCACTGCTGCTGGCAGCTACTTCTGGGATAGAACTGGTTTTTGGTAAAGCATTGTAGGATAGAAGTTACTAAATAAACWGTTAGGTCACGTGTCAGTTGTGAAAGTGCTGGCTTGCCGCTTATTATTATTGCAGAACATAAAATTCAGTTTGCAAAGGTAGATGAGGAAAAGAAAGTACACAAAATCAGGGACTGCCTTTCAACAGTAAAGTAGGTATTTACTCTGAGAAAGAGTATTCTGAGGAACAAAATTAGTGTCCATTTTAATAAAACAAAACTTTATCACCAGTTTTGCTTGCAATAAACTGCTGTCTCTCATACCTTTTGAWATGGATTTTTGCTAGAATTGGTCTCTTAAACTCCTACAGCTGGAAGATGGCTGAAGCACTGAAGTGTCCACATTTTCCTCACACCAAAGTATCACAAAAAGTGTTCTTCTTTCTTTGTTTCACAAATCTTATGGATCTTTTGTGTAACTTACCTCTTTTGTGTAGTTTACCTACTTCTTTAAAGTGTTCTTTTACTTTTTATTTCCTAGGTCAACTGTACAAGCTAGAAGGGCTGAAAACCATTGCTGTCACAACCAATGGGATCAACTTAACCAGACTGCTGCCCCGACTGAAGGAGGCAGGACTGAATGCCATTAATATTAGCCTGGACACTTTGGTGCCAGCTAAATTTGAGTTCATTGTCCGAAGGAAAGGTACAAACTTGTCTTCTAAGGCAACTGTGTTAATACTTGCAGGAATGTTGTGAAATGTTTGCTATATCTTTTGCACTCAGTTACTTTGGGAGGGAAATTAATTGCTGTAATTTTGAGGCTAGGAAAGGCAGTCTATACTAGCTTATTTAAGAGTGACTTCTTCTTTCTTTTGACAATGCTTAGGCAGACAGAGCCCCTTTYATTGGAGTTGATAGAGGATACTCAACTCAGCTCAGTTAGTTATATAGTCTATGAATGATTAGTCATAGATCTCAAGAGGACTCTCGATCAAATCTTGTATTTGTCTTGTGTGCTGCTCTTCTTTAGTACTGCTCAAAAAACCCACATGTTCCTGCTATAGTATCTGGGGACAAAGCTGCTGCAAGAACTGAACTTCTTGTCATGAAYAGTGGCAGTTTCTGGAAGTTATGTTTGGGGTGTGCTAGCAGAGGTCTCTCTCACTTGTGGTTAGTGATGTTCCATATCCACTACTTTTTCATAGGAATAAACATAAACCATGCCTGAGGTAATTTGAGGAGGACTACTGGCTTTGTAATTTCTCTCCTACTGAGCAAGTAATTCCAGATAAATTTCAAAAATGCTTGGATATGCCCAGTGTTACAGATCCTTGTTTAAATTAATCCTGAAGCTGATCATTCTAAATCTGGCAAAACTTCTAAGTAGCCACCAGATGGTGCAACAGCCTCAGCTAGATGAAGGGAAAGGACTGTAGGAATCTGGAAAGCTGTGAGAAGTAATGCCAGTGTTTGAATCACTGCTATCAAAGTTCTGCTGGCAGGTGTGGAAAGGTGTCCTTGTCAACAGTCTCTATGGGAGCACTACTTCAGGTTTCTGTGTCATGGTGTAGAAATCAGTTCCTATCATAAATCTGACTGGAGCCTTGCCCTTCCTGTGTGTGCTATTGCATTAATCTGGTTGTGTCATGGCACAGTTGGCTCCCATAGTGGTATCTGGGAGTATCCAATCACAACCAAGTGTTGACTGTGCTCTTTCCTTCTGCTCTCTGTGTTTGCATATTACCTGGTTTGTGACATTCAGTAGGAACAAGCCCTTCTTCTGCTACTGAAGGGGCAAACTTGAGCCTCCAGCTTCCTGAATTATAAGGCCACACATCTTCATATCTGATTAGAAGCTGTTAGAAATGTGCTGCTTATATAGTAAACTAAAAGCTACTAGGGAATGAATGTAATTTTTATTTACATAAATATTCTCTTTTCTTTAAAAGTGAGAAATTGCTTAACTGAACAGCATAGACAACAAACAAGGAAGTTTCTATTACTCAATATTTTTAAAGAGGAGAAAAAGGTCTCTAAATCATAGATACTTTTTTCTAAGCAGAAATCAGGTAAAAACAGTAGCATTGAATTTGGTTGTTRGGTTTTTTTTCTTTCTTTTGTTAAGGTTGAAGGCTGAAATTATGTAAAAATACTTTCCTTTTTTTTCTTTTTTTTTCCTTTTTTTTTTTTTTTTTTCTTTTTTTTGAGGGTTTTTATTTAATAGGAGGTTTCCAAGTATGGAATGAGCAGAGAATAGAGTGCCTGCCCTACCCTGTCTCCTGTGGCAGTTCCAGAGGCAACAAGATATAGCTTTGTTAAGGTGAGAGGGATTCCTGGCCTTGGACTCGTACAGGCTGATAACTTCTCTGGAAAGTAAAGGTGGCATCTGATTATGGAGTTTGCCAGGAACCTGAGCAACTTGGGATCATTTTTTTTGTTTTGCTGGAAAGTCAAGAGTTTTAAGAAGATGCAGCAAATATGTATCTTTGGTGCAGTTGCCCTGTATCACATCTGTTCTTGCAAATGATTAGGATGGACARAATGACTGTGAGATCATCAGAGATTTCACTGATGTGTGAAAGTACTTTAAAGTTTCGTRATATTTCTGCTTCCCAATCTGCCACATTCTAAGGGATGAACAAATGAAAAATGCTTTCATGCAGATAGCCAGTCTAACCTGTTTCATGGCTTGTCCTTTTTTTTTGTTTCATATAAGGAAACTGAGGTAATGATGTACTGTAATTGTAACATTAAATATAGGCTTGAAGCCTTTTTTCCTGTAAAGATTATATGCTGGGAAGTTTTGTTCCACATAGGATTTTTCTGGAYGGCTCTAAAGTTCTCTGTACTATAAAGCTGGCTAAAGTTCTGATTTCAGAAGAAATCAAATATGATGAAAATATTGACATTTTTCACTGGGTGAAAGAGGAGGAGTGGTTGCTTGCTGCCCTTTTTAGTTACATTGAGTTTCTTCTTTCTGTAATGCTGAGGTCAGACATAAGATTTTCTGAGCAGTTGCAGAGCTTTTTGATCCCATTTGTGGCTATGGACTGTGCTTAGAGCAGTATATTATCTCTCTTCCCATATTCCACCTGCAGTCTTGCTTAATCAGAATGAGATATCCCACAGATGCTGCAAACTTCTTGGGCACATGCACAATTAGGTGGTGATTGAGAAGGGTGACAAGCCATGGCTTCAAACAGTTGCTTACAAGCATTATTTCATTGTCTTCTGTTTGCTCTTCACCACTCTTTTTGCAGCCACGACTAGCATTAGAACTGGCTTATTAAATAATTGTATCTTCTCCTTTTTTGTGTCCATGCATTATGGTATCTTTACTAGCCAGAGAGCAGTGATGTGAAATTTTTGTCTCTTTCCTTTTCTCTTTCTCTGATTTTGAATGCAGCTAATATTAAGTATGCACAGAATGCTATTGAGTTGCTGCTTTTTTCTGCTAAAGCACCTACAGAGTAATGAAGTTATGATCTCTTCACTAGACAATCTGGTAGATCATAGGGAAAGGAGGATGATGGACCTGTGCAGACAAACATGACTAGGAGCAGCATGGGGATTGTCAGCACAAACTTCTGAACTATACTGCTCTTTTATTAGCATGTGTAGAGTATTTGCTGCTGAATATTACAGCTTTGGAAGAAGGAGCTTAGTCTCACAAAGTATTTGGTCTCATATACCCAAGTTTCACTTGCAGATTGGGAATGGAACTTAGTCTAGAATGTGCCCGGGTAGAAGAGGCATTCACAAACATGAAGTGAGCAGTTGAGCACCCCTACTCGYCAGAAATGTGTGTCCAGAGCTCAGGAGTTTACTGTCCCATCCTTGCTYCCCTTTGTTTTCTGCCAGCTGCTGAGTGTGGCAGGGAGGGAATAATATGCCAACTATGAAATTGATGCCTTCATGAAAGGTCTTAACTTTAAATGAAGTTGACAGAAGGAGTGGTTTGAATGAGATCATTAAGAGACTTTCCTAAATGACTTTGGAATTCTAAAACTGCGTTGTTGCTTTATTTTTCTTCCAGCTTTAAGAGGTATGTGTAGGGGCAAAGATACTTGCTCTAAATTAAATATATACTTGTGTTTGAGAGCATCTGGTAGGTGTAGGCCACACAAAATGGTAGGAAGAAACTGGGCACTTSGTTCCTTGAAGTCTGTAGTTTTTGATACCTTTCATTTGTTTTTGAGGGTCAAAGGTCAARTGAACTGCCTTCCTGAATGCTCTAATCTCTGCCACATTTTGTTCACTAATTTCCCATGTTTGGTCATAGTAATGATGATCCTGAAAAATGCTGCCTCTGATCTTCTGACTAATGGATAGTCAGTAGCTTTGGGAAGCCAATTACATCTGTAGCCAGGTTTGAACAGGGAATCAAGGGCCTTTTGTTTGTTCCTAAACACACTTCACCCCAAATGTACTTTAGAAAATTCCTTTTAAAAATCTCTTAGTACCATTGCTGTCTGATTCAGAACAATGAAATTCTGCCATTGTAGCAAAGACATGAGCCATTACTGTAAAATAAACATTAATTTATTATTCTTTTTTCATTTCATCTGAAGAAAGTTCACAAATTCTTTCCACTCCCTTTAAGAAGAATGTAACACAAGGAAAGGGACTTTCAGGGAAGTGGAGAATCATGTTAATAATACATAGATATCTAATGATGTAAAAAACCATACCAGTATCATTGCTTCAATACCAGATAAATACTGATCTCAATAACTTGAGCACAGTAACACTGGTAGTGTTTGGGCTTATGGTGGGAGTATAATTAAAATCTCATTATTTGCAGCTTTTCTTACTTGCAGCCCTGTATACTGAATCAGAATGGTTTTTATTTGTCATCTTTTTGTCTTGTACTTAATAACCTCCTTTTGCATTTTGCTTTTAAACAATAAAGATTGTTTTTCACTCTTTTTGTATCCTAGGCTTTCATAAGGTAATGGAAGGAATCCACAAAGCTACTGAACTTGGCTACTGTCCTGTTAAGGTAAAACCAGTGTTTATTTACTCTGAAACTGTTGTGTTTTACCATACATGCAGATCCCCTGATAAGGAATTAATTATATTCCATCTCACCTCCCACCCCACCCCATGAATAATTTTTAATGAAACTGGAGAAAAAATTGAAGATCACATCAAGAAGTAACAAGAACAATTCATGTCATCTCCTTGTGCAGCTGAGGGTGCAGGTTTATTKCCCTCAGCCTACTGATTGTGTCACTACAGGATGCCCCTGCTGTGTACTTGGCTCCCCCTGCCCTTTCTATTGAATTGGCACTTGTCTGACCCACCTGTGRGCCTGGCCAAGGCAGTTAACAGGCAGGAGCTAACCTGCAAAAAGACATTAATTTTCTCCTGTTTTGTTCTCTTTCAGCTTCTTAGAGCAGATTATTTTGAGAGGCAGTGTGAGAGGGAAAGCAAGTTAGAGGGTGCAGGTAGACCAGCTTCACTTGGAACTTCACCCTAACTCAGCTGTTTGTAGTTCTGCACTTGTAGTTCCTTTCAGTGTAGTGCCTTTCAGTTTCACCAGTTCTTTGGAAGTTCTGTTATGTATAAGCAGCTTTGGCTATAGAGCTGTGAAAACCCTCTGAAATTAAACTAGGTTTTAAGCTTTCCTGAAAACTCTTAAAAACTGTGGTCCATGATGTTTGGACATACAAGGCAGCCTTTGCTAACAGAAGTGTTTTAGCAACTCCACAGCTTTCTGTTGTTTTTTACAGAGGGCATGAGGCTCCAATGTAAATATTGCTTATGARGAGTCTATGGAAAATTCAGTGTTAACCTCTCTTTTGGAGGAAGGCAGAGGTAGTTATGCTGTAACCTGTGGTTATGGAGTGTGCTGTGAACACTCCTTGTCCAGGGAATGTATCTGTGATATGCCCTAGAGAGTGCTGTGGAAGGTAACTTGCCAGTACTTCTACCGAATCCATACAATGTAGAACTGGAGAGTGGAGTTGTCATTTTAAACAGTAAAAGCAGCCATACCTTAGATGGGTAAGACAGTGTCTGTGTTACCTAGCTTTTATATTAGTTTTCGATGTAGCAAGACAACTTGAACAACTTTAGGTTGTTCAACAACCTAAACAGTTAGGTTGGATGTAAAAACTTAGACAAGTTAGGCAGAAATTATTATCCATACCACTGCAATCCTGCCAACTTCTCTCATCATTTTTCTTCCAAAAAAAAGAAAAAAAGAGTTATTTCTATCTATTTTGCCTTCTGCAAGGACTATGAAACCTTGTGTAAGTGGGAAGAAAGTCTTGCTCCCCTCATAAATTTCAGGTGTGTGCTTTACCCACAGGTGAACTGTGTGGTGATGCGAGGCTTCAATGATGATGAAGTGCTGGACTTTGTGGATTTTACAAAGGATCTGCCCCTTGATGTGCGGTTCATAGAGTACATGCCCTTTGATGGTAAGTACTCCTGCTCTGAGATTCTTGTTGGACAGAAGTGAGCTTGTCTCTGGAGGGGCTGATGAGCTCTTTTAGGGAATTAGGAATTGCCTGAATTCTATGTTGTATCTTTTGCAGCTTATCTGCTTCCCTAGATAAGCTGTAGAAGGATAAGTTGGGGCTGGCACACTTTTGGCTAAAGTGAGATTTATGGAGAATGTGAAGGTGATTCTCTGCTAATTAAGAAAATAAAATCCACAGTCTAAAGTTAGGCTGATTTTCTTAATTCTAGGTAATAAATGGAACTTCAAGAAGATGGTGAGCTACAAAGAAATGCTTGATACAATTAAACAGCGATGGCCTGAATTGGAGAAATTACCCTGTGAAACTTCCAGCACAGCCAAGGTGGGATTGGACAAAGAACATGTGAAATGTGCCCCCATTCCTCCCCTGCCCCAAATCCCCAAATTGTCCCAAGTTCAGCATTRATATCTGACATCCAAGTAAAAAATACTCCATGTAGTAACTCTTGGGTTTTGATCAAGCGGCCTGCATGAGATTTAATGTGCATTAAGTGCTAGTGTTTACCTTTACAAAGTGTTTTCTAGATGTGTGTCAGATATAAAGAATGCCAGGCCTGTATCCTRTGTTTACAGCTTTTGAAACTTTTGTTAGCCTATATCTCCACATTAACAATCCTGATGGAACAGTTGTTCATAAAAAAAAAAAAAAACTATTGCTTTAGAGTGTACAGTGTCACATGGGGATTTCTAGCTCATGGCTGCCTGAGTATCATGCTGCCTACTGGCATCCCCTGTTAGTTGATAACTACAAGAGCAAGTATTTAAGAAGTTTGGGAATTTCCAGAAACAGGACAGAATAGACTGGAACACCTGATAAAACTGATTTTGTTTTATTTTGTTTTTGTTTTGTTTCTATGTTATCTTAGGGCTGAAGAAAATCTATGTTAGAATGTCTTCTGGTCTTCAAGTAGAGCTATAAAAATTAGGAGTCTGTATGTGACTCTTTTCTTGTCTCCATTTCTGTAGAGTTATAAGGTGCCACATTTCCAGGGACAAATCAGCTTTATCACCTCCATGTCAGAGCACTTCTGTGGRTCCTGCAATCGGCTGAGGATAACAGCAGATGGGAACCTAAAGGTTGGTAGTGAAACAGGATTCTCTTTGATTTCATACAGTGAACATAGTATTGAAATTCATCCCATTAAAGTAACTGGGATGTGAAGACTCATAATTATYACCAGCTAATTCCTGTTTATTTATCCTGTATGTATTCTTGTTCCGTCTTGTCAGGCTCTTAGGGAAATGTTGCATCACCTTTTTTCGGTTTCTCTGTTTTGCTACCATAGTTAACTTTAGCTGTAAAACATGATTGCAGGGCCAATAAACATAAACATTTATTCTAATCTTTGATTCAAAATCATCTTAAACATATGACAAGCAGATGATTTCCCATTAAAAAAGGATCCAAGCAGCTGTGAGGGCTTGGCTTTTGCATTCCACAAGGATCCTGTCTTGTTTCCCAAACAACTTGTAACTCTTCTCCTTCAAGAGTAGCCTGTACATTTGTTCAACGACTGTAGAACAAGGAGGGATAACCATTTCCTGCCACGTTGAAACTGGCAGTTTCTGGGGGAAAATTAAAGTTTTCAATTAAAAATTGGCACTTATGCATTGTCACCTGATACTGACAACAGCTGTGCTGCTGCCTAATGTCAGATGACCGAGGCAGCCTGAAGGCCCAACGAGCTTAGGCTGCATAAACATCCTAGGCTGTCTGCGTGCACATGAGGAGAGGTAAAGAAAATAATCTCTGTAAATGTTCCCTTCTCTCCAAAGCTCTTCACTCTGAGATTAGTACAAAATACTTGTAAAAGTGATTTATTTTATTCTTTCTCATTTCTTCTCTTCTGCTTCCCTGGGTTGGCTTCAGGTGTGCCTTTTTGGGAATTCTGAAGTGTCCTTGAGGGATCACCTACGGTCGGGTGCCTCAGAGGAAGAGTTGATTCAAATCATTGGAGCAGCAGTGGGAAGAAAAAAGAAACAGCATGCTGGTATGTTCATTGTTCTTGAGAAATAATAGCAACAGCAGTGATAGGGAAAACTTGTAATCTTCCATGAGAGTTAGAATCCAGACTGTCTGAAAGAGTTTCAGAATGACTTTTGTTCTCAAATAGATGTGAATACCACTGCTCATGACAGCAACAGCAAAGTGTAAAGCTAAGTAGTTGTACTGGATCCCTCTTCTTTTTCTAAATTAGTTTGCTGTAAAAGAAGTACTCAGACTAAACTGAGCTGTCAATCCATTAACATGTTTCTAGAAGTGACAAATCTCTTTTTCAGTGTACAGGAATTTGTAGGCACTCATCTAGTGCTCTGCATAAGGTCATCTAATGCTCTGCATAAGGTCATGACACAAGGTCCACAATGATGCAGTCACATCCTCAGGCTGTATTAATCTTTTCTGAATTTATATTGATATAAACATTCACATCTGAACCTAACTGTATTTTTGTAATCTGGCTCCAGCTGGGAATGCTGGCCTCTTGTACATGAACTGGCTTTGTGATCGTGGGTTAGTCCCCTAAAAATATGCTCTGGACCTTTTTTTTTTTTTTCAGATTCTGACAGATTAATAACACTAAGTTTTCTCCTTTTTTCCTAACGTGTGAAACAAATTTGAAGGTAGCTTTTACATCTGAGCATAGACTAAGTTGCAAAATACATTGGTTTGACCCAGTTAAAATAGTTACCTAAGGGAAGGAGTGGGTGGATTCCTTTATTAAAGGGGTTCCTTTATTTGTAGATCATTTATTTATGAATTTCTGGTTTGGGAAAGCAGAGTGTAGCTGTGGAAGAGTCTACTAAAGGCATTTTGCCATCAGCAGCATTTACTTAGCATTGTCTCTCTTCTCCCAGTTTGTGTTAACCTCAGTATTGTCCCTGGGTTTTTCTGTGATAGAACTTCTTTAAACTGGAACACTTATTAACTGCTTATCTGTAGAACTACTACAATCAAATACCATTGCTAGAGACAAGATAATCTCAAACTGTTTGAATCCTWTAGTAGGTAGACTGTAATTCACATTATAGCAAGCTTTCTGGGAAAGAGTTCTACAGTGTGATAGTCCCATAGCAGCTGGATGCCTGGAGACTTCRGCTGCTATAGTTTTCAACAATACCACTCTAGATTGCTCCTCCTCCAGTTCCCTTGGTCTTTACTGAGCTTTGTTTTTCGTACCATGCAGGTTGCACTGTGAAGAACAGAAAACTAAATATGTAAAGCACATGCATGACTTAAAGCCTAAAAAGCCAGGATTTTTATGTGTTCCTTATTTTATTTCTAGGCATGTTTAACATTTCCCAGATGAAAAACCGGCCAATGATCCTGATTGGTGGGTGACAAATCAGTACGTAAAAAATACAATGATTTTGTTCCATTTCTGTCTTTGTGGGAGCAGAGTAGATTGGGCTTTTAAGATTAGCTTGTGGTTCTGCCTTAGGTTTAGGCAAAGAAATGGGCTTCTTAATTAACCAATTATAATTAACATGCTGAAGCGGAAGAGGGAGAAAGGTTTAATGTCCCTTCCAAGCCTTACTCAGTTTTCCAATTGATAGTGCTGGTTTTGTTTTCTCTAATTATGGCAGTTTGTTACATTTTCCAAAGGGATAATCAACTTGCCTACCTTATTTCCTATCAGCTTCCTTTATACTTAAGAAGAACAGTATAGTTACTTGTAAGACAGTTAGGGGTGAGTTTTGACCATATTGCCATATAAATATGGCAGGATATTCTAAGGATGCAGAATGAATTTTTAACCATGGATTAAGAGAGTCAACTTTTTTATAATCTATATAGCCAGCAACCTGACAGAAATGCAAGTGTTCCTACCTCACTACTTCTTCAGAATCTGAGAWGTGAGCCATCATTCTTTTGAAATTGCCTCTTATTGATGTAAAGTCTCAGAACATAACCATGTGACACCTATGAAGCAAGAGCCTTTCTTTTCTTCTAGTGTCTATTTAGGATGTTTGCTAACTCTCCCTTCTGCCTGAAGTTCTGCTTATGAGTGATGTGGCACTGCTGGGGTACTTTTACTGATTTTTTAGTATATCCTTCAGTGTGATTTTACCTACTCCATGCCTATGTTTCCCTGTTCTGTAAGATAGCTATCTTTCCAAAGACTTCAAGAAATGGTTGCAAGAGTTGGCTTTGTAAGATTAATTGCAAGATGTTTTGTTGTTCCTTGCCAACAAGGAATGGGGAAAAAAAAAAAAACAAAATAAGGGTACAAGGCTTGAACATTATGTTTCTAATACAAACTCTATTCCTCCCCTTGATGTTTTGGAACATGTTAGCTGCTGGGCAGCTTAAAATATAGGTTTTAAAACAGGTACCCTTGGGAGGGGAACATTCATTAATTTGCAGGTCTTTGCAATAGGTGATATAATAACAAGTACTCTGTTTTTAAACCAGACCCCTAGGGATTGTACTTTTGTTGCCTTTATTAGGAAATAGAATCCACAGAGGTCTTTGAAATAGGTCTTCACTGGGGATGTTTTTCATTTGGTGCCCGCTTTAAAGGTCCATAATTTTCGATGTTGACTGGTGTGAGATTGGCTTTTTGGGTTTGCTTTTGCTCTCTTGTATTTGGCCACTGCTGCATTGTGTTCCAGAAAAAGGGTAAGCAGGACCTTTTGTTTCAAGTGTGTATTGACTTGCTGCATGAGGAAAAAATTTTATTTGGTTTGGGTTTTTTTAAGATGAAAAATAGTACATTAAACTCTTGACAGCTCACTGGGACCTACAAAAATTTTCAAGTTGCCTTTGAAAGAATTCCCACACTCCAAAGTTAGTATTCATAGCAATGTTTGGATATCTAGAGATCAGATCAATCAGATTTCCTTTTGAAAAGTGTTCTAACATTGTCTGACATGCAGTGAAAGAGGCAGCCTGTCCAGGTCCCCTTCCTTCAGCTTCTTCATGTCCCTTTGAGACTGACTTCTGGCAGTCACTGCATCAGTGGAGAGACTGGAGATGAGTGGAGAGTTTCCCACTGTGACACACGAAGAATCATTAGGAGATTTCCTAATTATGTTTTGAATTACTTACAAACTTCAAATAATGATGGCATGCAAGCAATCAGTGGGGGAGTGTGTGTATGGAATTAATTTAATGAAATTTAATGAATGCTGTGGAAATCRCTAATTGGTTTTGCTAGACCCAGTAAGCCAAACCTGGCATCTTCTCTGCACTGCTGTTGTCCAATCCTTTGCTATATGGTTTGTATCTTATTTCCCTTAATCAAAATATTCCTTTTGGCAGGTTCTTCTTCTCCTGGGTTCACTTCAGTTATGGGAATTTCTTCATTAATTTAAGTTTCTCCGGCCTTTTTTTCTCCCCCTGAGACTGTGCTAGTTGGAAGCAGACAAAATTAAACTTGAGGTGCAGTAATAAGATATAAGGAGATGGAATTTGTCAGATGGTTTCAATATATGGTGCAGTAGAAAGCCATTATCTATTCTTTTTGTAGGTAGATGAACAATTTGGGTGCAAATAGAGATGACTAAGTACAACTTCAAGAAGTGTAGGTTATTCAGAAAAGCAGAGATGCTTTGCACTCATTACAGATTCTTGCTGTCTGTTTACGTCCCACTCTACTTGASCAAACTTCTCCCCCTGCTCCCACCCACGTGTGTTTACCCTGTGGAAGGAAGTACTTGTCTGCCTTTGCAGTCTGGCTTCTCCTGAAAACAAGACACTTTTACGGGGTTTAGCTTAGCTTTAAAGCTAATCTAAGAATCCAGAAGAACAGAGTACTTGGAGTTCCCAGATTTCAAGAGGAGTATTCAGGTTAGGCCCCACTATGAAAAGAGAGAGTAAGAGAAGAGGAATAAGAAAAATGATTATCTGTGCTCTTCTAAAATAAAGCAATGTTGCACTCAGTACATTTATGTCCATTTAATCCAATTCCTCTGAGGTTAACATAAGCCTTCAGATTTACAGGAATCTTAATTTTTGTGGATAGGCCATCAGCTGTAGATGAAAAAAGGCATTTGCCTGAATTTAGGTTATTGCAGTGATTAAAGTCATGAAATCTGTGGTTGATTTAAGCTTCAGGAATTGGAAGTACTTTCAGACCCATGTTTGGAGGCTWCTCTGGATGAAAAAGATGCTAAGTACATCAGTCTCGTTTTAGCAGAGGCTGGGACTAACAAGGAAGAGTTTGGTGGATTTGTTTTTAAAAAAAGGGGGGAGTACAACCAGACCTTTGTCCACAGTGTGCCTGTTACTGTCATGTGGACAGTCTAAGGCGATTCCTGTAGCTTTGAGCAGCAGAGATAGCTCAGCAATATGCAGAGGGGCAGGAAGCTTTGATGCACCTGTGGATAGACTGAAAAGGAGGTACCAAAGGAGGTTATTGACCACAACCTAATTCCACATTTCTCAGAGCAGAGAGGGGAGGAGGTTCAAAAAGAGAAACATGCTTATCAATGGTGCTGTTAAACCAGGGCTTAGCCACATACCTCTTTACTGCTTTCTTTACTTACAAAACATTTTATTCATTTTAATGTGAAAGAGGCTTCTTCTGTCTTCACACTTGGCAYTTAGCCCAGTGCAAATGCCAAAACCAAAGGATTAAATGGTGAAAAGGGGCAGGAGGGCTTACTACCTCTCTGCCAGCTGGGAGCTCTGCCAGCTCAACTTGGAACATGCTTCTGAGTAGATTTAAAATCTATCTGTCAGTGAGAGGACTGTGGTTTTTCCAGTGCTTAAACTTCAGCTGTCATTAGCGTGTTAAGAGCTGGCAATGTTACGAGAGGTTCCCAGCACCCTCTGAGCTTGTAGACAGTGCAGTTGCGGTGCTTCTGGTCCCTGCTGTCCTCAAGTGCTGGCATGACCCTGCCCTGYAGAAGGAGATGAAAGGAGGAAGTGCAGCCACCTATGCTGGGACAGTGGTGTTTGGAAAGGCAGAGTTGAGAATCTGAATGTAAGAATTTCCTATTAACCCTGCCAGGCTTTTGCAAGAAGGGTGGTGCTGGGGATGGTCCCAAATGGATGCTGAGTTGCTGTGACTCACTCTTCTTCAGAACTAATAGTCCTATAAGCTTTCTTGGTTGCTGTTTCTCAAAAGGCATTGATACTTTTTGAAAGCGAGATGTTTCTTTTTGTCAGGGACCTTGAAATGCATGTTCTGAGTCTTGAGGCTTGTAATAGCAAACCCGGAAATGTAGGGAACTGATCAGAGAGAAGAGAAAGAACCACAGGATAAAAGGTGGATGTTTGCGGGTTTATTGAGGTTTTTGCAGCACAGGAAGTCCCAAGCAATGCTCKGACAGGGTTCTCAGCTGCTACAGGCAGCTCAGCTTTCCAGTCTGTAAGATGTTCTTCTCATGTTACTTTTTGTTTTTTTCCCCAGAGYCTGCATTGATGTCATTCCCACTGTGCCAAGATGCCCCACAGAACCCCCCAAATTTAAAACAGTGGGGCCACACATTTAGCCACTGGCTGACTTTGAGAGCAAGTTTACCCAAACAAAAGAGAAAAGCATCAATGAAAAATAAGCTTATAGGACAACTTTTCCTGCCAGGATCTCACACAGAGAAACAGGGGCATACAGCAACAGAAATTCTACAAACCCAGCTCCGAGGCTACTGTGTCTTCCAGAAGGATGCAAGCTCCACATTTGATGCAAAGTGCCTTGATGCTTCTGTTGGCCAAGTTTCTGTGGACTGTCAGTCCAAAGAGGCACATTCAGGATCTCAATTCCATACCAGGGATTCGGGATCTTGCACCAAGGTTCCTCGTGCCTCTGACAGCTTGACTCACACTGATGACGAAGGACGGGCCRCAATGGTTGATGTTGGAGGGAAGCCAGATTCCAGAAGAAGTGCTGTTGCTGGTGCCGTGGTCCTCCTGGGTGAGAAGGCATTCAGGATGGTGAGGCAAAACCAGATGAAGAAAGGGGATGTGCTGGCAGTAGCCCAAATTGCAGGAATTCAGGGGGCCAAGCTGACCAGCCAGCTGATCCCTTTGTGTCACAACATCCCCTTGCACCATGTTGAGGTGTCTCTGAGCTTGGATGAGGCCAGGCATGCAGTGGTGATTCGCAGCTCCTGTCAGAGCTGGGGGAGGACAGGGGTGGAGATGGAGGCTCTCACAGCTGCCAGCCTGGCTGCACTGACTGTGTACGACATGTGCAAAGCAGTCACACATGACATCATCATCCAAGAGCTGAAGCTGCTGAGTAAGACAGGTGGGCAGAGGGGAGACTTCTCAAGGGTCTAAATAATATCCAGATACCTCCAGCCCTCCAAGTGACCATTGCACCTGTTCAGCCTCTGACAGAAGTCCTTCTGCTCAGCTAGTGGGCTTGGAGRCCTCAGCAGATGTGTACAGTACAGCATTGCCATGTCTCCAGCATTGCCTTACTCTGTCAATTCACTGCTGGGTGAGCAGCAGAGCCACTTACCCCTTTTAAAAACCACGTGTGTTTTCTAGAGGACAGACTTCTCCACTCTGCCAATATCTCCATTTCATGTCAGAGTGAGGAAAGATACCACAGAGGTTTTTGGGTTTTGTTTTTGTTTTCTTGCCTTTGTGCTGTGAAATACACCTGCTGTCATCATGCCATACAACTGTGAGCTCTGGAAATGAAGCAACTGCTGAAAGTGCAATATTTGGCAACTATTTTTAAGTCAAGGATTAAGATTTCAGAATTGTGTCCGTCCATTTTTCTCCTGACCTCCTTTGTTGAATTTAGAGGATAACAGAAGAGCACAGCTGCTGAACTTCACCATACAGCAGAGATTATGAATATGGAACAGTCAGGGTCAAGGGGCAACTCCCATCCCTTTGCAGTGTTACCGCTTCCCTTCACAGAATCAAAGAATTCCAGAATGGGTAAGGTTGGAAAGGACAACAGTAGGTCATCAATCTCCCTGCTCAAGCACCCAGACCACATGGGATTGCATCCAGACTGGAATATCTCCCATGAGGAAACCTCCACAAGTTCTCTGGGCAATCTGTTCCAGTGCTAAGTCACGTGCAGARTAAAGAAGTTCAGGTGGAATGTCTTGTGCATCAGTTTCTGCCTGTTGTCCTATTGCTCAGCACCACCGTATTCTTGGCATCTCCCCCTCAGACACTGATACACGTTGAAGAGATCCCCTCTCAGTCATCTCTTYTGGATGCTGAACAGGCTCAGCTACACCATCCTTTCCTCATAAGAGAGTCACCTACAAGCAGGAAATATCCACTTACCAGTTTCAAAAGAAAAAAAAATGGCAGCTGCCCAGTTTTCTGCCTTGGGTGCTCTGTAAAACATGATGCAAAAMCAGGATTTCTGTGTGGAAGAATTATTTTGCTGATCTGAGATCTGAAAGATACGTTTTACAATGTTAGAAGCATGTTCCAGCATTTTGACCTTGCACTGGACATGGATGCCCTGTCTGCATGTTTAAGGGATTAATTTTGCCATGCACGGAAGTATTAAGCTCTCCCTGATTTTAGAAAGAGATGTCATACCAAGCCCTAGAAGACTACAAATTTTTAATGCTACAGTGCAGCTCCAAGTAACCAGCAGTCTGCATAGTCCTGACAGATAAAACAGACTTTAATACCAGTGACCACTTGGAAAATTAAGGTAGTTGCCGTTGCCTCTGCCAGAGTGTTTTACTGCATGTTTCTCTAATTTGCTTTTCATGAGGTCTTCTAGCCTTGGAGAACTTAAGTGTCCCCATAAATGTAGCAGTGGCCACAGTTATGTAGCATTAATTAGCTTTGGTAATTAACTTTCCTAGATAAGAAATTACTTAACACTCTTGTTAATATTGATGGATGCTTTTAAAATGTTAAGTACTCTAAACAGGGTATTACTGGTTTCCTGCTGCTTATGGCTGATGTGAAGTTGCACATGATTCAGGGTGCTCACTCCATACGCACAGGGTTGAAGTCAACTCTAATAAGGTCAAAGATGCTACAAAAAAAAGCATCTTTAGCTTTGSAAGTAGCTGCCTCTCATGAAATAAGGTTAAAGTATTGTGAGCACACCACACTGCCACGCACATCCTGCTCACTTAAAGTAAGCACAGGTCTAAGATGAGGCGGCAATAGGCTTTACTACAGATCCTTCACAAATCTCATACACCAGCTGCCACAAAAAAACATTATTTCCGTTGCAGGGGAGTTGATTATTTGTTGTCACTGTGATACAAGGTACATACAGATATAGCAACTACAGCTGAAAGGGAAAGGAATCTGGAAWGCTTGATGCCCAAGCTCCATCAGCTCAGTACATTGATTTGGTTTAGGATTGGTATTTCCCCATTAATGTTCCACTGCATTCTCACTCCTTCCTCCCTGTGGCGCAGCTGGACAGGAGAATTGGTGGCACAGTGGATAAAAATCATGGGTTCAGATAAGAACAATGTACTGGAGACAGCAATGGCATAAGGAAATGAACAGTAACAGCTCGAGTAACAGGGCACAGGCACTACCTGACCTCTCCCTTAGTGGAAGATACTCCTTCCCTGGGCCCCAGAATAACCTCCCCATGCTCCTAGCCATGCCCCCTYCTGGCTCCTGCAAAAATTAACCAGGTCCTGGGCAGAACCAGGACAATCTACATTCATTGTTACAGTCTTGACTCCCTGTCATTCCYAGGAGTGTACCCAGCACTGCCATGCTGACACCAACAATGGCAAATAAAAGAGACTGAGTTTGTCTGTGGAACTGCTCTGCCCGTAGCACAAAAGTTTCCTTAGCTCAGCGTGGAAACTAAGTGCCAGGAAAAAGAAGCACAYGTGTAACCTGCTAAGTTGACTGACTTACACAAGCACTTACCTCCTYTCACTACACACAACACACCCTGCCCTCCTGGCCTTCCCCCAGGCTCTAGCTGATTTTGAAAATAAAAGGAAACTCAATGTACTCGGTAGTAATAAACCAATGCTTTGGGCATATGATTCTTTGGCTTCTAAGAAGTTTGCTGTCACGCTGTAAAGCTCACACAAAGGACTCAGGGCCATACCAGGGACTACTGAGAACACACACAACCACCACGCACATCTCGCTCCTTACGCACATTTCACTGCTTCCTTAGTTTGAGAGTGACTGGAAGTGCAGGGCAAACTGACTTTGGTGCCATTTTATGCTCATGTTACATTATCAAGTCTTTAAACTATGCACATTTATAGGTAATGAAACAATCATGAATCAACATTTTGTGAGAGAAATGGGTTGAGAGCACTCTGTTTCTATGGTGCTGGGTGGGCCATGGTGTAATATATGTTGATGAACTGACTACTTTTTGGAGGCTTGCTTTTTTGTCCACTGTATTTTTAATAAACACTAGTTGTAATGGAGTGTGTTTTGCATTACTTTTAATATCCTTTTTATTTATCTTCTATGTTTTAACACAGAAGCTTCTATGAATAGTTACCTCRGGACAAGCAACAAGACAGACTTTACAAGTTGCATGATTAATCAGCAATTAGCAAGGGATCAGTCACAGTAACTTACTACTATGAAGAATATTTTTTTGACTGTTGTTGAGTCAAGCTCATTTTAATCTGTCTGTTCTTAAACTGTGCAATCCTGTGGCCTTAATATCATAGTTTATCATCTCTTGTCATTATCCCAGCTTCTCCCACATGCCTGTTCTGAGCCAGTGGCTGTATATAACATCACTGCTTTTTACTACTGCTCTGGCTCCAGAGCTCTTCCTCCTAGTCCAGGTGACCACAGCTGAAACCAAGGTTCATAGTCCATCCCTCCTCTATCATGAATAAGCCCTAAGAGAAATTCCCCTGCTGATCCATATAAGCTTCGAGGAACACTCTCAAGTCTCCTGCTACCAAGAAGGCATCAGTGTTAGAGGTSTTTTCCAGCCTAAACGATTCTAAGTGCTGTCAATGCTGAAATAAGTGCAAAGCTTTCCATCATTTTTCTCGGAGCAGAAAGGGAGTAAAGCACTGAGCSCAGCACCTCCTTGAAGGGTGGTGTAAGAGTACACATTGCACTTCTGTCAAACACAACTCAAACACTGCAAAAATACTGCAGATAGTGGCAACCCTCATAATGCACACACAGTAGAGCTTTTGCCTGCTGGAAACTCACTGGTCCCAGCTCATGTCCCATTTGTGTGTTAYAGTCTGTTCACTGCTAATCCAGCCCACCTCCTTTGGGGAATCTCAGCCTGSCTTTCCTTCGTGCTAACATCCTGACACTTGTTTCTCCACCCTCACACTGTCCTGTTAAAAACTGGWTGCAGCCTATAAAGGAGAAGCTGGCAGGAGACTAAATCTATGTCAAAAGAGCAGTGCTGGGGAAAGAAGAATGGGCTGTGGGGGGAAGACACAACTTGAAATACTTCAGGGAGGGACCTCTTCTATATTTCTGAATGGAAATCACTCAAAACTGGATTCTAAAAGCAGCAGCAGCTGAGCAGTAAAAAGAGGAATGAATTTTTTAACTGTTCTAAGGCCCTGGTGACCTACAGTGATTCCCGGTAAATTCCGTAACTCAGCTTTACATGGGATCAGAATCTCGCCCTTGGTCCCACCCCTTCCTTGGCACTTTGCTGGTTCTCGGCTCCCTCTGGCTGCCTCAGCAGAGTCAGGCAGGCTTGGAACAGCTGAAAAATGGCTGGTGCATCGTGTGTGCTTTGGCCAAGACAGAGCTGCAAATTAGTTAAATGGAAACACAGTTCGCTTTCCTCCACGCACCAGAACCTCGCTCCAAGAGAAGCTCAGCATTTCAGGGAATCTAAAATWAGTTGGAGGAATTGCTGGTTGCAGTGGGCTGACCAGGTTTTTGAGATGCAAGGTAAAAGTCTCAACTTAGGTCTCAAAACCAGTGGATGTGAGGGGCACTGCAAAGTCGTGATGATGGCAGGCAACCCACCRACTTGCCTGGCACAATGCCCAGGAAGGCACGGGATGAAGAGCTGAATCCTTTGTCACAGAGTGGGCCTGAAGGGCTGTGGGTGAACTGAGTGCACTCTGTCATAAGAGCAGATTCTCATTTTGGGCACAGCGATCTTAAACAGTGGCAGCTGAGACAAATCCACCTCCCCCTATCCCTGCACGCTGCCAGCGCCACGTTTAGAAAGCTTCCAGTTTAGAATCTCTGCCTTTGTACTTACCCTGTTTGCTCCTCTGGGGAGTWAAGGGTCCCCAAAATAGTAGCAGTGAAGTGCAGCTGAGTGCAAGCTGACAGGAAGGGATGGGATGGATGATCTGAGACACTGCTGAGCTTTCCTCCGAGCAGAGAAGCACAACCCAGGCATTGCTCAGCTGTGTGTGCACAGCCCAACTGCAGTGGTGGCCATCAGGCGAGCTGCCTACTGTCCACAGCTCTCAGAGGTGCCATCCACACAACATGTGCTCCATGGAACAAATCTTCACACTTCATGATCGCTTAAGGTTTGCTTCCAGAACCCCAAATTTGCAGCAGAGGCAGTTGCTTCATCAATGACTCCATCAACAGAGCGGGCATAATCTCAAATTCTGGACAGCCTRTTCAAAACCAGAAACTCGCAATACTACTAAGCTCTTCCTGCATAAATTTAATCTTAAAATTAAGTTCAACAGAAACACTCTTCTATACCCATGACACTTCCAGGGTGCACAGCTGAAAGGATGCGAGGCCAGCAAAAGCAGAGCTTGTGTTTGCAAAGTCAAGGGCAGCTTGGCTGCAGCGGGACAGGAGGTAGGGGAGGAAGAGGAGGAGATAGGGGGGCCAGGCAACTGAAAAGTTGTGTTAATATTATGCTTGGAGGATGACACAGGCTATCGGATACGTGGCTGCTCCACAGGTAGTGCCCTAGGCCAGTTACCTGCTGGTGCAGGTTGTGGCAAAGCTCTGTCAACACCAGCAGAGCTGTGCCGTGTCACATCAGGCAGCATCTGCTGCTGGGAGAGAGAGGGTTCAGCTACACAGCTCTGACCTGCCACTACTGCAGCCT